CAGCTTCGCATATCAGCTAACAGTTATTAACTTCTCAAAAAAATTTATTATCACATTATTCTACTTTATCTAACGAAATTATTTTTCAAAGTAATTCAACTGTTTTGAGTATCTCGTACAAATGTACTGCAAAGGTATTTTAAAATATTCTAATATTACTATAGAGGTTAAAAAAGAAAAATATATTTTTTATGTCAAGATAGTATATTAATTACATTCAACACTACAATATTTTGGAAATGTTTTGAATAATATTTCTATTTAAAAGTTATTGAGCATAATTATTATGAAACACATTAAAAATTCAAATCTGAGTGATTAAACTTTATTACTTGGTCATTATTTAGATAAATTTAATGGGATTATATTCTAAAATAATTAAACATTTGAAACGGACTTAATAAGAAGAAAGCTATTTATGCACACCTAATAGTGGATAATAATAATACGTTTTATTATTATTATTTTATATTTTGACATACAAATACAATTATAAAAGCTCCATGGTATTGAGGTAACATGATGATTTTTAACATAAATATTTTTCAACTCCTCCTAATTACATAATAATTTATCTACCACTGCCTTCTGTTTAAAATAATTAATAAAAATATTTAAGGCTAACAGTTTAGTTTTTTATTGTAAAACCACAATTTATGTCAAATTCCTATTAAGGATTCTTAGTAAAGTATTAAAATAGAAAAATCTAATTAAATTTCAATGAAAAACTAATAAGAAAAAGTTAAAATCATAAAAAAAATCTTACATTATATCTTAATATGCAATTAACGTGTATCAGGGGCGGATCCAGAATTTATTCCAGGGGGGGCGTCATAAGATACATTTTTTCTTTTAAGAACTCATTTATTATTTTGTGTTTATTACATTACATGTTTTTATTACATGATTATTGCATTTCTATTTTTAAAAATTCGTTTAATGTTTGCTGCATAATATTTTTTTTAATTACTATATTATATGTTTTTTGATGACTTTGAGGACATAGGTATATAAAAATAAACTCGTTAATCAAAATTAATTGCATATGAAGAACTTTATTTGAAATTAAAAGCTATTTATCAAATAAAAACAAAATATACATTTCTTACAATATTATAACTTAACACCTAAGTTTGTAACAAATACTATTAAAATAATTAAAGAATAAAATCTAATTTTCTTTTTTTGTCATTAGCAAATCTATCAATGATATTTTTGATATTATTATGAATATTAATTTTTGTGAATATACAACAAAGCAAGACCTGTTAATCTATCTTCACTAATTTTGGACCTTAACCATGTTTTAAGCAATCGTTAAAATTAAAAATAAAAAACCCAGCACAGGGGGGTCGTGGCACAGTGGTGACGTGGCATAGGTGGATCAAGTATAATGATATCTGACAGTGATTAAAATCACTATAAAAAATAAACGCTTCCACGCAAATCTTTAAATAGTGTTTCATTTTAAAAAATTGGTGGATTATTCTAAAAGCTACATTATTGTAGTTCGTTAGTCTAGTTCGTTATTAATATCCTGATTCAGATAAAGTATATCGAATGAAAGAGGGATTATTAAAAAATATTATTTCTCATAAAAAAATTATGTTGATCCATACACTTTTCAATAAGTTATAGCATTATAAAGTTAAAAATAAAATCGAGAATTTTCACACAATAATAGCATTTGGTAGCCAATTTCACCCTGAAGACAAAATAAAGTACGAAATTTTTTTTTGCCATAATAAAGTATATTGCATTAGCTTTAATTTAATATATATAGAAAAGTGTCAGACCTTCCGGAACACTTTCAAAAGTTAAGTTGAAAAAATTAATTTTTTGTAAAAAAGTTGTCATTTTAAATCCCTCCCTGTGGTCAGGTAAAAAGTCAGATTTACAAAAAAAAATATACCAAATGATAGGTAATGACATCATGCATCTATAAAAAAAAGAATTATATTGATATGTTTATTTTTTAAAAAGTTACGGCAGTTTTTAGTAAAAAAAATAGAAAAAATTAGCCATTTTTAAATTTGTAATTATTTCGGAGGTTTCCCCCATTTACGGGGGAACTAGGGAATTTTTTTCAATTTTTGAGGGTAATGTCTTCGACTAGATACGATTTGTGATCTTTTGACGTATTATTGAAAGAAATCGGTTCGGTGAGAGCTGAAAAAAAGTGGTAACAGACAGAAAAAAAAAACACATCATAGTAAAACTAATACCTTCTCAGCTTCGCATCTAAGCTAAAATATATGTAGCGTGTTCTATAAATAACACGATTGCTTCAATATAGAGTTATAATATAGTATGTCAGTACATACTATATTATTAAATAGAGTTTTTACAAAAACTTTGTTATAATAAAAAACAAATTATTTTCGGTTTGAAAATTAAAAACCCAGCACAGGGGGGTTGCGGCACAGTGGTGACGTGGAATAGTTGGATCAAGTATAATGATATCTGACAGTGATTAAAATCACTATCAAAAAAAAACGCTTCGATGCAAATCTTTAGATAGTGTTTAATTTTAAAAAATTGGTGGATTATTCCAAAAGCTTCATAAACTACTAGTTCCTTATTAATATCCTGATTAAGATAAAGTATGTCAAATGAAAAAGGGATTATTAAAAAATACTACTTCTCATAAAAAAAATTGTACTGATCCATACATTTTTCAAAAAGTTATAGCATAATAAAGTTAAAAATGTAAAATACAAAATCGAAAATTTTCACACAAAAATAGCATTTGGTAGCCATTTTCACCCTGAAGATAAAATAAAGTCCGAAATTTTTTTTTTTCACGATAAAGTATATTACATTAGCTTTAATTTATGATATATATAAAAGTGTCAGACCTTCCGGAACATTTTCAAAAGTTAAGTTGAAAAAGTTGTCATTTTAATTCCTCCCTTGTGGGCAGGTTAAGGGTTAAATTTATGAAAAAAATATACCAAATAAAAGGTAATGATATTATGCATCTATATAAAAAAGAATTATATTGATATGTTTATTTTTGAAAAAGTTATGGCAGTTTTAAGAAAAAAAATTGAAAAAATTTCGAAAATTAGCGATTTTTAAATTTGTAATTTTTTTGGAGGTTTCCCCCATTTACGGGGAACGAGGGAATTTTTTTCAATTTTTGAGGGTAATGTCTTCGACTAGATACAATTTGTGATCTTTTGACGTATCATTGAAAGAAATTGGTTCGGTGAGAGCTGAGAAAAAGTGGTAACAGACACAAAAAAAAAAAAAACACATCTTAGTAAAACCAATACCTTCTCAGCTTCGCATCGAAGCTAAAAAATTGTATTGACTTCTCGTAAAAAAATGAACGTTTAGTTAAGTACTTATTTATTACAATCATTATTAATTACTACATTAAATCTACAAACATGTATCAATTGAGTGACATAAAAATTAGGGCAGTGAATTTTAGGCTTTTTTTAATTTTGAGTTACCTTTCCTCACTATGAACATTTTGATACAGTCAATAATTAATATGCAATGAATTCTTTTTAGTAACAAGAATGGTGCATTTGATTTTTATATGAATCAAATATAATATTATTAGTTTATATTTATAGATTGTATAAATAAAATTATTCATAAGCTGAATCTGTCAAACCAAGTCATATAAAAAGACTTGAAGTAATTAATATTTTGAAATACATTAATATCAACATTTATAAACTAAATAAGACTTAATTAAGTTTAAACAAATAAGAGCTTCAAAAAAGAAAACTTTTATTGCACAATAATTTTATTTTAAATTGGCAATTACAAAAGCTGTATTATAATAATGAATTTATTTTAAAAAATTATCTTTAAATAAAAACAGGATTTTTTTTAACATTTTATTTTTTTACAAAATAATAATTATTTAAACAATACACACAAATAATATTTGTCTTGTATTGTACAAAAATATTTAAAGACTACTGCATTATGATTGTAATAATTTAACAGAGTTGACTTGACATACACTTTAACTCAGTGCTTGGTTAATGTTAAAAAACAAAAAGCATTTTAAATATATCTTAAGATGCAAAATAACAACAATAAATAAATATATGGTGTTAATAAAATGTTGTAATACCACAAGATAGTAACATAATATTATTATAAAAAATTAAAGTTATAATTTTAAACAATACTAAAATTATAAAATGTTTATATCAATAAATAATAATATATAAAAGCATGCATTACATTATTTCTAAATTTGAATGCAATACAATTTTGTATTATATCTTTATACACATATATAATATCAATTAATATCAGTAAATAGCATAATCATAAATCACATTTATGACACCTAATTAATTTAAGATTTATGATTCTGCATATGTAATAAGTAATTACTAGTAATATTAAAAATCTAGGAAAACTCAAAATTTATAAGTAAAATAATAAAAAATATAGTAGCCAAAAGCATTAAATAAAATTATAATATTAAGTTAATATTAAAACTACATCATACTTGTTACAATCTAAATTAATAAGAGTGGAAATTTCAAATATAAATATTTTGAAATTAACATATAAATTAAAATAATCACCAAAACAATAAAATGTGATGAATCATCCATAGGAACATAGTTTAAATTTTGAGTGTACTGGAATGCTTTTAATAATTTAAATAAAATTCAAAATAAATAAATAAATTTTCTATTTAAAGTAAAAAATTATACAAATAAAATGGATGGATTAAAAATAATTTTTATAATTATAAAAATGATAAAATAAAGTATATACATATATATAGTTTTAAAAAAGCAGTCACAGTAGTAATTATTCTGTATAAAATTTAAAACCCTATATAAAAATCTTGTATCATAAACAATTTGAAAATGTACAAAAAATATAAATAAATTAATATGAAAAATTTCTGATAAAAAAAAAAAGTATATATGTATATTTAAAAGTAATTTTTTTTAATTATATTTTTATCCAGTACACCGATTATATTTCAAAAATATTTGTTTAAGCTCTAATGGTTTAAATACTTATATAATCAATAAAATTGACTTAATTAGGTAAAAATTTTTAATGCTTTTATATTAATATTAAACAAAATAATAATTATTTTTGAAATTCTCAAAAATAAAGTATAATATATGAATATTAAATGTTAGGATGTTATATGTTCTCCATTAAAATAAAAGTAATGATACCGTAAAAACATAATATGAATGTATCAAAAATAAAGTGAATTTAATCTGGTACTTAATTTTAACATAACAAAGGAACTGATATTATAAAATTCATACTTTTTCAAAGTAGCTCTAGTCAAATTTATACATTGATTTAAAAGAAATTATACTTAAATAAATAATATAATTAAATCATTATAGAAATTGTTTGAAAATGAACTTTCAAAACAAAATGATCTAAAGATTCTTAAAGTAGTGAAAGAACTATTTTACTAAAGTGAAGAATGTATTATCAGACAATTAGTGTTTTGTGTCTCTTTAATGGTATTTTTTTATAAGAAAAAATAAATTATTAATAAATAGTTGAAGCCTTTTTCAAGTCATCAGTGTGATATTCTTTAAGAGCTGGGATAATGGAAACCAGAGTTCTGTCTAACCATGCTATAGGGTTAGGATACAGAAACCCTCCTTCAAAGAATCCAAGATGTCCTCCATGAGCTAACTCCATGTACAAAAAATTATCTTTAGATTCTAAAATATTTAAAAATATTATTTCATATGATTTTTTCAAATTTGGAAATAGTATACTAAAAATAAATTACAACATGAAACATACTTGCATAATTTTGAACTGGAATTAATAAATCTTCTGGTACTAAAGGATCATCTTTAGTGTTGATGAATACCATTGGAGTGGTAACATTATTTATATAGTACATACAACTAGACCATTCATAAAATTCATGAAGGTTTTTGAAATTATTTACTTTTCTGTAAAATAAAAAAAGATAATAATTTTTTTTCACAGGAAAAAGCTTTAATGGAAATAAAAATAAATCATGTGTTATTTTAATGATAATTTTACTTATTTCGCTGTTATTTATTTTTGCTTTATTCATATAAAATTAATTACTCTTTTGTATAAAATGTACCTTCTATAATTTAATAATTTACCTTGTATAAGCATCATCCAGTTCAGGAAGAGTAGCTGCTGAAATAATATCCTTTTCATTTAAGGAAAATCGTTCTTTTATATCATCTGACAAAAGTTTATGCCTATGTTTTAAAATTAAGGCTTTTGTAGCTTCTGTTAAGGCATACAAGTAAAGTCTTCTGAAGTTTTGCCAATGTAGAAGAACTCCAGTAGCTCTGGAAAAAGAAATCATATGAGAATATTAAAAAAAATTTTATATTATAGTGCTATTTAAAAAAAGTTAATTAATAATTAATTAATTGTACAGGGTTTTGAACTAAACCTAGTGCTGACACTACTATAAACAAAAAAGGTCCAAATCATGTATTATAAAAAACTCAAAATAAAATATTCATAAATATCCAATATAAATATACAATATAATTCAAAATGATGTTTGCAGCAGGAATTATTTCAAATCATTAGTCAAAAAAACAAATTTAAGTTCGACAAAGTATATGAATGGAACTTTATAGTTATTTTATTTTGTTTTTGAATTGTATAAATGGATACAAAAAAAAATAAAATTACTTCAATGCATCATAAGGTTGACATATTGAAACTCCAGCTACTATACAATCTGGTCTTTTTGTATAAGTTTCTCCAAGATATTTAGTGACTAAATTTCCTCCCATACTATATCCAATAATAATTATTTTTGTTTTAGGATAAAGTTCAGATAAATTACACAACATAACATGTAAATCTTCAGTATGTCCTGAAAATAACAAAAAAAAAAAAAAAAAAATTAGCTGTCACATTTTTTTATAATGGTTTTTAAGTAATTTATACATTTAAATACTAGAAAAAACAAAATTAAAATTAAAATAAAATAACATAACAATTATCCTTTCAGCCTTAGGTCAAAGGTAAAATTTTATAATAACATTAAATATAAAAATGTACTATGAAAATTAAATATTAAGCTTATGTTTTGTATGCATTATTAAGATAATTTAAGTCTAATATTTTGGAATCTACCAATAATAAAGAATAATTAATTGCAATGAAAACCTATTATAAATGAGTTTCCAAATTACTTAATTTTATGTCCTTCATTGAAAGAGATGATAGCATTTATTATTTTACTTATTGATATTTTTTAGCATTTAAGCAATATTCAAAATTATTTTTGATAAAATTTCATAATTTCAAAAATATGTTAAAATAAATAAGAAGACAAAAATAATAATTGGTTTTTGATTGAATATGATATATTGAAACATTTTTTATTTACAATTTTTGAATATCGTCAAAATATCTACCTGTTATAAACTAAAAAGAAAAATATTCTAACTTTTTGTATTCTTTAAGTAATTGGTCATTAAAGAATAAAAAATGCCATATTTCCATTCAAAATTTTTAAAGTTTCGTTGAAGCAATTTTTATACTTTATATATATTCAAAATGCACAGAGTTAATATTTTTTAAAGACTTATAATATATCTAATTGCTGGTTAGTTTCATAATTGTAAGCTAAATAAAAAAAAAAGTTATACTAAACTGAACTTAATGGTTCAAAAATTCAGTTTAACTTGATTGGAGTTATAATAATATTTTTAAAAACTTTTATTAAACAACATAAAATTATTGTAAGAAATTAAAAAATATTTTTATAATTTTATTCTGTAGTTATCGCTCAACTAATAATTAGTAAATATCTCAAAGACTATATGTGATATAAAAGATCTGAAGCTAGATTCAAAATAAGCATCAAAATTCTATAGGGTTTTCAAATAAAAATTGTCAACAATAAAAATGTTTTTGTTAATTGTCATGCTATGTAGTTATTGAATTTAATGTAACTAATTAAGTTTTAAATAAACCTTTTTTTAATTAAATTTTATAATTTACAATAAACAATTATTATTTACTAAGCAAAAATTTAAAATATAATTTAATAAAAATAAATACCATAAGTAAATATTCTAGAAGATGTCACTGGTACATTATGTAGAGCACCAACATGATTAAGCACAGCGCATCGATAACCTTGATCTTGAGTATAATTTACAAAAGTTCTAATATAATCACTTTCTGAAGAATTACAAATTCCTGGCACTATAACTACAGTCATATCATCTAAAAACATTATTATTGATAATTAAAAAAAAAAACAGAAAAATAATTCAATATGTATAGGCTAAAACTATTATAAATTTGAATCAACTAACCTAGATTTGGATCACAGATAGTTGGTTTAAATAAATCATATGTAAGGGTAGTTCCATCATCTAATAATATAAATCTTCTATCACCCTTAGGACAAGGACATCTGACTCTTCCAAACACACTATATAAGATTGTTTGGACATGTCCACTAAATCCCCATAATCTAGTAGGTACATATCTGAAAAATTATTTTTTAATATCCTTAATAAAAATTAATCTAGAAAAAAGTTTAACATTTCTAGTGAGTACTAGAAAGCACTCTACTTTAATGAGTATTTTTAATACTCCTTAAAAATAAATTTCTTAAGATTTTAATTCATATCACCCATCCCCATTAAATAAAGACAAACACCAATTATTAAAAAATGCAAAAATAATTGCAATAACAAAACCTAAGTAAAATCTTGTATAAAAGATGTCTAATATACTCCTATAATTAAAAATATTTGATAAGGATAGCAAATATGCAAAGGTGATTCTATTTTTGCATAATTTAAATTGTGCCAAAATAAAGTCAAATATTGAAATAATTTAAAATGCATGTCACTTTCATTCCTAATTTTATGTACTTTTATTTCTGGAGTTTCAGCTACTAGCGTATTATTATTCATTGATATTTAGCTCAATAAATATAAAATGTATACATAATATATATTAATATTTCACTTTTATATAATTTTAAAAAATACATATATTAATCCAAAATCTCTTTAATAAAAATATTAACTTTTTTTATGACAGCTCAAATATATTTAATTCAATTTATGTTAATCAAAGGAAAATTTATTAATTATAAATACATTCATAATAAATATCTATTTATTCTATTTCTTATATAATAAAATTTAATGATTTAACTTGATAACTAACATACATCAAATGTTTTTACCAAAATGAACATTACTTTGAACTATGAACACTTTTATTAAGTTCTAGAAATATGATGACTCACTGATAATATAATATCTTTTTTTAATCTATATTTAAATTATGACCTCATTAAAATTTAACTAGAAAAAATAACTGTTATTTAATAAAATATAAATTTTGTCTGATTAATGAAAACTAATAGGATTAAAATATAAAATAAAATTCTAGTTATTTAATAATTCAATAAAATGTGCACGTAATTATTAACCAATTATTTAATTACAAATATATTAACATTATTGTAGCAATATTATATGTGGGTTAATTAGATTTAGATTAATAACTTTAGAAATAATGTCTTCATGTTTTAAATTTTGAGAAGAATAAAATATATAGTAATAGTTATGTTTCAAAGGTTAAACAGTTTTATTTATTTCATAATTAATTTTTTTAACTACATTTAAGTATGATGTTAAATATTTTTTAAGTTTTACATCATTGATTATTTAACAATATTAAAATTCAATTTTAAGAAATATTAAATACTGATGTTATTAGTTTTGCATATTAAACTAATAATATAAATGCTATCATCCAACAATTATTTTTGTATTATACTGATTAATTCAATTTATTAGAAAATAGCAAAATAAATAATAAAAGACAAAAACTACTGTTGTAAAACAAAAAATTGTTAAGATAGAATATTAAATATCTAAATATTTTTAACTAAATACAGTAAATTCAGATGTTTTCAAAGATAACAAAAAAACATTTAAGAAATTATAAATTTATTCAAATTTAATGAAAAAATTTGATCAACTATTATTATAATTATTTCGTTTAACAACTAAAGTAATCAACACGATTATTTATTTGTTCTTTTTGTGTACATAATTAAATATCTAAAATTTAATTAAAGTGTCTATATTAATATATTTTTTTTAATTAATTTTCTCTAAATCAAATCCTGTCTACTGAATTATTATAATGCATACTAAGCATTATCTTTCATTTCATTACAAGTTACGACAAAATTTTTTAGTGTTTTAATACCATTTTTATTGTATTAAAACTACAATGACTTTTTTTTCACTTTTTTAATTCATGTTACGCTAATATTTATATATTTGAGTTCAATAATAATAATTTAACATGGATATTTTAAAAGTTAAATACTATTTAGTGTTCTAAGGGATTTTAAGGTAGTTCATAATATAGAAAAACTCAAAGTTGTAACATGAAAAGGGTTTACTGTATTATAATTATTTTTAAATATTAAAAATATTTTAGTATACAAAACTCAGATAATATTAGATAAATGAATCTTTTGACTTACGGTTCATCAAGATGTGGCGCCCACTTCAGAAGTTTATTTAAAAATAACTTATCTTTACAATGAAACACTGGTTTTTGAGGTTGACTGGAAGCATTTAACATGCGAAATATAAGTATTAAAACAACTGCAACAGCAGTTAGAACAGCAACAGACATATTTTGATTTTGCTAAAATTTTTTCTGTTCTTTTAAGTTGTTAAGTTTTATATCAATTATAATCTGTTTCTTGACATAAATTTATCAATGTAATGAAAAAGTTTGATAAATTTTATGTTAAGGAACTAAATCTCTGAAAATCAGAAATTTATATTACTATCTTACCGGTATAATATAATTAATTATAAATGAAACACTTACTTTATCAGTAATAGAATTACAGTAATAACGAAGTAGAAGTAAATTGCTTTTAAGCCGTTTTCTTGTGTTATTGGATAATGAATGATGATATATACATAACATAAAATATCAGAACATCTTTATTTGTGTCTTTATAAAACAAATATAATTTACGAACTCAAATTTGGACGTTTTTAAGATATGGCACCACACATTTGTAGTCAATCATTACTTAAATTATGTAGACGTACAAATAAATACTGGCGATATAGGCGTAGACAAACTTAAATTAAACAGTAGCTTTAAAAGAGATTTTTTTTAATTATGTATCAGAAGAATGTTATCGCTATATCATGAAAATACATTATCAGTTTATTCACAACTCAGTTTCTAGGCCACTCCGCCGATGAACTCAAGATTGTCGAATAACGTGCCAATTTGATATTAGGTGACTAATATAACAATGTTTCATTAACCACCATAAGGTCTGATATAAGCGGGCGCCGACAATTTTATCAGTAGTCCCCTCCTATTATGTCAACCTTCAGCACAACGCCCAGCATCCACTTCACCTATATCATTGTATTAGGACATCTTTAGCGTTTATGGCAAATTACCGTGACCTAAATTAACCACCATAACTACGAAAAACTGTTACGCCACCAGATGTCGACGAGATTTTTATTTAAAAAAATGTAATAATTGTTTGTTGGGAAAATGATAAAAACAAAAAATAGTAATGTAACAGTGGCACCAACCTACTTTTAATTTTAAAAAGATTAACTAAAAATATAAATTTTAAATAAGGATAAACTGTATAAAATGTAGATAGGCGATAAGAAGATCCAGATTTATTTCTAGTAATTTGTTTTAAATAATATTTGCCACAAGGAGTCAATTTTGATTATCCAATATTTATTATCTAATATTGAATAATTTTTCATACAAGTTATTCAATCACATATAAAATTAATACATATTTGGAACTTGATATCATTAGGGTGAAACGCTATATATTACAATTTTTAATTCAATATTATAAAGTTACAGTTTTATTGGTACACTCAATTAACCATTAGGTACTAGACACACACATCTACGGGTACTTTTCAATGTGTTATTTAAGAACTACTTAATAAATTATGAGTGTTCCAAAAAGTTTTGATATTTCACAAACTGTCACAAACCATTTGCTGTCTGTCATAAATGCAATATAAAATTAGGAAAGAAAAGTTCCCTAAATTACTATTTATATATAAACAAATTATACTTAATAAGATACCATTATTGTTATCTTTCTCAAACATAAAATGAAATCTAATTATAAATAACATATTTATAAGATAAAAATTTAGTTAATTTTTGTAAAAAATATTTTAAAATTTAGGTTATTCAAGTTCCAAAGACCAAAAAAAAAATAGTTGAACCACTAGTTTGAGAAATGATAGCAATCATATAATTTTGAAAAACCAGTTATATTACGCTTCAAATTTATTGTTGGTAGATATTTTTAACAAGTGTAATATTTTAATAATAATAATTATATAATGCAACATTATGTACAACTGCATAGGAGCTCACAATAAAGCTAATAGTAAATTTGTTGATTGAGTTTTGGAGAACAGATTTAATTTTAAAAATAAAAACATATAAGAAATAGGAGAATTTGACGAACGAGAAGTGGAAACAAAAAGAAAAAGTGAGGAATTCAACTTTATTCTTAAAAACATTAATTTTAAAAGAAAACTCGTTGATAAATACAAAGAATAAAACAATTAATGACATAAAGGCATAAATAGCTATTCACTCGTAATTAGCTGAATACTTAATTTTATTTAAGTCACTTAAGTTATCTGATTATTAAAACAATTCTTTATAAATAAACTTTATATAAAAGTCAACTATATTAAAATTAACTTTTAATAAAAATAAACATTATTTAAAAGTTTTCTTAAAAAAAAAAATGTACAAAGATGTGAAACGAACTTTACCGACTAAATTGAGTAAATCCTAATTTCATTATGATCAATGTATTTTGAAAAAGTTGTAGAAAAATGAAAAAAAGGGACCTATTTACAGAACTTTGAGATTTTTGATTTTAATGTCAAATAATCCAAAGCAAAAATATCGTTGGGATTTCACTTTTTAACGAAGGTATGGATGGGTAGTAAGTAAGAAAATATGACTGCGGACATGTTATGTGCATGTGCATAAATTCAAGATTACCAAATGAAAAACAGTTAATGACTAACATATTTGATAACATGAGAATAATATTCTGCTTTCAAAAATATTAAATATTTCAAAGTAAACACATACTTTTAAAGTAATTCATACTAAACAAGACATGTAAATAATAAGAATTCTCATATACTTGTTTATATTTGAGAGGACAATAAGGTTATCTAGATAACATAAATAGTTGAAAAAAATCCATTCTGGAAAAAAATTCGTTCATAAATACATGTACAAACAAGTTAATAATATAAAATCATATAATAGTCATTCATTTATAATAAACTTACTATACGCATTTATTATAATTTTTTTTGGGAAGGATTTTTAGTTGAATAATTTTTAAAAAAATTTAGTTTTTTAATATATTTAATATTTTTTATTATAATTTTTTTAATATATAGAGTAAAAATGAGTTCTTCTCTTTATCTATTTATGTCTATTTGTAATTGTGAAATTCCCTGTATCCAACCTCCAAAAGGGCTACTGGACGTTAACCTACTAAATTTGAAAAAAATATATATCTTGTGATTTAGTCGATAAACTCACTAAAATTGCTATTAGTTGTATGTGGCTGTCTTTAGTAAAATACTTTTATCAAGAAAAAAAAACAAAAAAATCGTCCTGTTTTTTATTATGACCCTTCGTATAAAAATAAAATATGATTAGTATACGAATCATTTTTTTTAATAAAGACATTGTAAAATACAGAAATTAGAATTTTGGAATAAAGACTTAAAATAGTACTACCACAATCAAATACAATATATTTAAGTTCAAGTGGGTTAAACGTTTGTTATTGATTACAGAACTTTATATGGTCACATTTGATATCTTATAATGTTCATAGTTTAATTAATTTACCTAGGTATGTTTTTATTTATGGTCCATTAGATAATTTTAGTTATTTCCGTTATGAAAACTATTAACAATATCCTTTATGATATACTTTCTCCTTGACTATATAAACAACAACAACATTACTTCAGTAATGAAGTAATGCCGAAAAAATCTTTACACCTCTTTAAAATAATTGATAATATTTTTGAAAAAATTACTTTTGAACTAACAAATACTTTTAAAGAAAAATATATATATAATACTTACAAGTAATACTCTTGTTATGGTCCATCATATTGTTCAACCACAAAATAAGCCTTTTTATTTAACTGTAAAACAGTTCCTTAACCGTTCTGAATTTACTGCTACGCATTTATCTTGTTTATATTGTTGACGCTACCAAAATGTCTGAATTAAATTGTATTTATTAAACTGATATTCAATTTAAATGTTATTTTATTGAACATAAAATAATTTTGCTTCATCTCAACATTATGCCATTCTGTATCTCAAGATTGTTCTTATTTTAATTATTTTTTTTTAATAAAATATTATTTTATACGTATAATATAATATAATTTTGCTATGTCTGTTATTTTTTTTTAAATAATAATTTTATCTTTAAATCCATTTAAATTAATAAATTGGCATTATTAATAAATTACATTTTTTTTGTTTATAATCAATATGAAACAAGTAAATTTTGAAGAATATATATACAATTATTAGCAGCCTTTTCTGTTTTTAGTAAAACATCTCTACAAGTTTTAAACATTACATTGGTAATGTGTTCGTAAACGTTATTTTTGTAATGTGAATGAAACATGTTTGATTTTTGTAGATAAGTTACAAAGAGATGTTCAATTTATGTTTTATTAGTGTTAGCATTACTGAAAAAATGTGGTCCCAGGGATGTTTTTCTTACTCTTATGGAACGTAATTTGTAATGTTGTATGTGTCAACTAAACAGCCCAGAAACGTTTGAGGTACAAATTATTGCACGGAGGGTTATTTATTGAATTTGAACGTAAAAATTAATTTAAAGTTGTATTATGATTTTGTTTTAAATTTATAAAACTAATTTTTTTAACAATAACAATAATATTATAATTTTTAAATCCTGTTATTACGAATTGAGTACAATTTTTTTCCTTATTTTGTTGCTGAAACGTTATGATTTCATAAACACATTAAAATGGCCAGAATGTTGGACCAATACTTTTGTCTTTATAAAATTCAATGCAGTGTTTTTGACCAGTTACAAACAATTTAAATAACTTCTCCAGCTTATCTAAATTATCCTTAGCCATTTTAACCGTTAGTTGGTTTTTTCCCAATTGTTCCACCTGTTTTTTCATGATTGACTCTAAACTGTCATAATTGATTTTCAACGATTTTTTAAAGGGTCTTGCAATCTTGTCAGTCTTCAACTGCTCCAGCTGTAAATCAAACACGGCGTACCTGTCAAACAATATAGTATACGCTTCATATCTCTAAAATAATTTATTATAACTAACAACTAATATATCATAACTATTCAGGAGAGGATCTTTAAAAATAATTTTAAACAGTAACATTCAAAGAGCATTTTTTTCGTATCTGAGGAAAAACTGATATAAATGGATTATATAAATTATAGATTTCGTATTGTTATTTAATTATTGATTATGAATTTTTAATTTTATAAAACAAATTTCGAAGGAAAACGGGTTGTTCATCAGAAAAATATGATACAACATGTAAATATTGTATTATGACCTTAATGATGAGTTTATTTAAGGTAAGTTTTATTTCATGATTTTAAGAAACTGCGACCAAATTTTAGCTTTTCTTTATTTAATTAAAATTTTTGTTTTTTAATATAATTTATTATTTTTAGAGAATCTTTTATGTTTGGTCAAATGGTAATTTTAAAACATTTGTTTTGTATATTTGTATATTGAGTTTCATACAGAATAAAAAAAATGTAATTGAGCATCCGTAGATGAGAATTTTAAAAATTAAAAACAAAAGTATTGAAATGTGTTAAACAGTATAAATTAGAAAGACTGATGGTATTTTATCAGTTTTAAGGAAATATTTAAAGAGTATTTTGAGTTTTTCAGTACATATTTGTATAATTTTTACTACGTTAAAAAATATAATAATCTGTTTCAAGGGCATATTTAGAAATCAATAATGGTGGTTATCATTCATTTTTTCATTCATTAATGAATAATACACTAATTTAATAAAGATTTATTTTATACCATCTAAAAAAATTGTTTTGAACGTAAAATATAATTAGTTTTAAGTTTTTAATGATTGTTTTCATCGATTCATTACACACATTTTTATATATTAAAATTTAAATTATTAAAACATTTTATAATTTAAAAATATTTTTATTCTTTATTTTGTGTTTTTTATAATTGTTATTAATATAAAAATAAATGTATAATCAATTAATAATCTCAAATAATTTTAATGATATAATATACAAGGTGTTCAAAAATAGGATGATTACATAGACTATTGCAGAATCCCATTTAAATATTTTTAATAAATTGACGATCAAAAAAGAAAAGTTTAATTTTTTTTTCATCATAGGTTAACTTTTTTTTCCCAAGTTTTCTTCGAATATTTGATAATTATCTTAAAATAAAATATCAAATAAATCATAACTCATAATATAAGAACAATTTTTTTTCGATTGATAGTATGTAGACAAAATTTTTGTAGTTTTTGCTCTTTAATATTAAGAATTGCCTCTTAAGATTTTTCAAACTTAAACAGACTTATAGTGTAATTAGTTTGACAAGATCAAAAGCGTGGCCAGTCGGAAGGATAGGGGTTAAGACTAATAATGAAAGCAATAACATTTTAAATATACTATGTATCTTTACACAAGAAGTAAAAAAAATATTTTTGCTTCTTTTAGAGTAATAGTATATACATTTTTTTATGTAATATACTCTATAAATTCTTGGGATCACTTTTAAATAAGATACTTCACAAAGTGTCTGAATATCTCTTTTTTATAATAGTACAGTATAAAAACCTATTAGAGTATAGGTTAATGAGATTTTTTTGAAAAATTTGTTTATGAGTTATTAAAATCAAAATTAAAATAGAAATAAATTTCTTTGGGACTAAAAGACTTTGAAGTTTATAAATTCTTTTACTAAGAAAATAAATCAACCTGTTTCATTATAGTTAACCGAAATTGTTGCATTGCAAACTTTAATTGGTCTTCATTATGGTTAATAGCTACCGAAGTTGATCTAGGTCGGGCACCTTTGCATCCACCATTATGGTTTTTACATTTGTTTTTTGGTATGAAGTCCTCAAAACATTGACAAGGTTTTTTTGATGCACACCCACATGAATCTTTTTCGTCTTTACATGGAAACTTTGAATATAGTGTATGACATTTACAACTTCCAAAATTACCTTCTGGGCAATTGCACTTTCGTATCGATATGAGATTATTGTTGTGCTGGTTAAAATCCCGCAAGGCAGGCCTATTTGATACACTATGTGACCGCCTATGTGGCCCTCTGCTCCTCAGGTTTTGCATCTACTTTTGTATAATTCAGAATAAGTTAACGGAAAATTTTATGTATCATTTAGTGTGAACAAAAGTTATTGTTTTATCCATTGCACACGGTGGTTATGACGACACATTTTGAATATAAGAATATGTTGTCATAACTATTGTTATCATTAAAGATTAAAAGTTGCTATATTCAATTGAAAAAGGTATTTTTCATCTAAATACAACAGTATTTCCAAAATACTCATTTGAGTTGAGTTAAGTATTTAAAAATATACTCTTGCAAATTATATAAAAACCTAACAATAATTTATTACAAACAAGATGAATATTTTTGTAAAAAGTTGTTTATTAAAATTGTATGTATACACTTTCATACCACTGAATATCAATTTCTTTAAATACGACCGTATTATGGATGCTGTTACCAAAGTATACGAAGTACTGAATTTGGTGTTCTGTATGAGCCAATTAAAAAAAAAAGAACATATAATAAAAGCGTCGGCTTAGATCAACATGCTATCCGACAATTGCTAGAGACCCTTGGATATTTTAGCTTCGATGCGAAGCTGAGAAGGTATTGGTTTTACTAAGATGTGTTTTTTTTTTTTTGTGTCTGTTACCACTTTTTCTCAGCTCTCACCCAACCGATTTCTTTCAATGATACGTCAAAAGATCACAAATTGTATCTAGTCGAAGGCATAATCCTCAAAAATTGAAAAAAATTCCCTCGTTCCCCGTAAATGGGGGAAACCTCCAAAAAAATTACAAATTTAAAAATCGCTAATTTTCGAAATTTTTTCAATTTTTTTTACTTAAAACTGCCGTAACTTTTTAAAAAATAAACATATCAATATAATTCTTTTTTATATAGATGTGTAATATCAATACCTTTCGTTTGGTATATTTTTTTCATTAATTTAACTCTTAACCTGCCCACAAGGGGGGATTTAAAATGACAACTTTTTCAAAAAAAATTAACTTTTCCAACTTAACTTTTGAAAATGTTCCGGAAGGCCTGACACTTTTATATATATCTTAAATTAAAGCTAATGTAATGTTCTTTATTATGCAAAAAAAAAAATTTCGGACTTTATTTTATCTTCACGGTGAAAATGGCTACCAAATGCTATTTTTGTGTGAAAATTTTCGATTTTGTATTTTACATTTTTAACTTTATTATGCTATAACTTTTTGAAAAATGTATGGATCAATACAATTTTTTCATGAGAAGTAGTATATATATACATCTTTCATTTGACATACTGTTTTTTTAAATCTAACCATTTCCCTATATACGAGGGGGGTTCAAATCTAAAAAATGTATGTAAAAAGTAGAACTTTTTCAACTTAAATTTTGAAAGTGTTCCGGAAGGTCTGACACTTTTATATATATCTTAAATTAAAGCTAATTAATATACTTTATTATGGTAAAAAAAATGTCGGACTTTATTTTATCTTCATGGTGAAAACAGACATCAAAGTTTATAAAAAAAATACGATTTTTGTAAAAAAATTCTTTTTTATATTTTTAACTTTATAATGCTATAACTTTTTGAAAGATGTATGGATCAATATAATTTTTTTTTTATAGTATAATGTCTTTACCTATCATTTGGTATATATTTTTTTTATATCTGACCCTTTACCTGCCCACAAGGGGGGATTTAAAATGACTACTTTTTCACAAAAAATTTACTTGTTTACTAATTTACTTTATTATGCGAAAAAAAAATTTCGGACTTTATTTTATCTTCACGGTGAAAATGGCTACCGAATGCTATTATTGTGTGAAAATTCTCGATTTTATTTTTTACATTTTTAACTTTATAATGCTATGACATATTGAAAAGTGTATGGATCAATACAATTTTTTTATGAGAAATATTATTTTTTAATAATCTCTTTTTCATTCGATATACTTTATCTTAATCAGGATATTAATAAGGAACTAGCAGATCATGTGGCTTTTGGAATAATTCATCAATATTTTAAAATTAAACACTATCTAAAGATTTGCAACGAAGCGTTTTTTTTTTGATAGTGATTTTAATCACTGTCAGATATCATTATACTTGATCCATCTATGCCACGTCACCACTGTGCCGCGACACCCCTGTGCTGGGTTTTTTAATAATGAGAGCCCATATTCCATAGGCTTCTAAGTCATTTTATTACCTCTGGTGTAAAGGGATTATTTACGATTTATTTACATTTTGAAAATTGTTAGGAAGCCCTCTCTCCTCATAATAAATTCATGATAATTAAGTAATAATAGCTTTTAATTTACTAAATTACTAAAGTCAGTAGGAGTCCCGTAATTGGGCGGCCTCTTCACAAGTTATTGTTTTTATTTTTCAACATTAATTGTATATAATAATATTTTATCATAAGTAGTACTTATCGTAAATTTTATACAGATTTTTCTACAATGAAAAAAATAAGAAAAGTATCCTCTCTAAAACACATATATACAGTTTCATTATTGAGGTTTCTATTCCCCTTATCTCCAGTTAGAACCTCATGAGCCAATCTGATATTGTATAAGTGTCGTTTAATCTGAAATAATATCATATTGGTATTAACTAGTACAAATATTAATTTTGACCTGACTCTTAGGTAAAATATATAAGAGCTTTCAAGTGCGTTACGTAAAATGATTAGGAATTACTTTTTTTATTTTGTTACTTCAACTAAGCTCCCATTTTCTGACATTTGTATATTTAAACAAGCTATTATCGCTAATATAAACAATTTTAATTAAGTTTTTATTAGTAAACAATCAATTTTTTTATTGAAACGAACATATTTAGTTTTCTTCTAACTTTATTTTTCATCTAATAATTTATTTTAGCATAAAAAAATTATATTATAATAATCTATGTTGAATATAAATAAAAAAATTATGAATTTTTTTTTGTCAATTTATTGGAAAAATTATTTTAATGTTACAGTGTGCGATTGATGTTTTACTATTGCATCATTAATAAAAAAATTGATAGCTATCGTTGCCATATTATTTAAAAACATATCAATAGTAAGCCGGTAATGTGACGCGCTTGTGTAGTATTTAATTGGTATTAACGTATACATCCCAAAACCTTGAAAAACCAGTTTGGACAACTCGTATAATTACGGTAAATAATTTTTACGAATGCACTTTAATCTTTCTACTATATTTATACATTATATTTGAAAAGAGGTGATACTAAAAATTCCTACTACAATAATTTTATTTAACTAGTTTCAGTTGTTCAATGAATTTATTATCACAGTATCAAGTGTTGAGTCGCAGGACAAACGTTAACTATAAGAAAATATTTACCTGATAAAAAAATTCAATAATGACGCAAAATGATTGTAGTAAAAATTTACTATAATTTGTCGATGAAAACAATTTTAAATAGTTAATTTGTGATTAATAAAAAATCGTGATGCAGCTAGTCAATAATTGGATAAATATTTATTTATTTTTATTTTTAAGTACGTTAATTAAACAAAATTTATTTATTTTACGTAGAACACTTGAATATTCTACAATATAATTTATAAAACACAGTATTTTGATTTAAATGATATAAAATATTTTTCTTCGGGTGTTTTAGCGAAAAACGTTTTTGGTTCTCAACATTTCCTTCATAAAAGGCAAACTTCAAATAATTGTCCTATGTAGGTAACTAAGTATCTTTCACTATTTATTTTTAAATATTTTTAGTGCTTAAATTTTACGTTTTATAGTTATATTAAAGTTTTAATATAAATTAAATAAAGTGAAATTTTAAGTTTCCTGTAATACTTCTTAACTACTCTATGGGTAATTACGTAACAGGAAATCAAATGAGATAACAAATAAATAAGAAAAAACAATTTTCGTTGTATACATAAACAACATTTTTGTTAAATAATTTACTATTTTTAAATTTATATTTTTATTGATAATATTAGTAAAATAATATTTATTATATTATTGTTAGAATCTATAAGTGTGTTAATTATAAAAAAACGATAAAAAATATTCTCAAATTTTTTTTTTAAAAATACTTCAATATTAAAACTCATTAAAATTTTGTTAAAATTATCTTATTAATAAAATAACTATATAATAATAACTTGTAATTCATTACTATTTTAAATTATAGAGTGGAGGTGAGGTGTGGGTTATGTTATTTTTATCTTTACTCATTACTCTGCCACCACTTCATATTTAATAATGTTGATAACTTCTATCAAAAAGTGTTTTGTTTGTTTAAATACTAAATATTAAGCTTATAATAAGTAAAAATATAATAAACTTTTTTTAGAAATACGTTTCAATGTTCGAATGGAGCTTGTATAGATACCGAATTTACTTGCGATGGAAATGGCGATTGTCCAGATAATTCAGACGAAACTGAACAACTTTGCTCTACTATATCGTAATTTTTTTTTAGTGAATAAGAAAAATTTAACATGACACTACGAATCTTATTATAATATAATTAGAATTAACATCAAATAATATTTTCAGATGTCCTGGATTTGCATTTCGCTGCAAATATGGTGCTTGTATTGATAAAAGTTCAAAATGTAATGGGAATGTTGACTGTATAGACGGATCTGATGAAAATGATTCTTCGTGTATGAATATTGAAAGCACAGCTAGTTCAACAAGTCAAGTCACTACTAAAAAACCTATTGCCGGTTGCACGTAAGTTAAAAGCCAATATGTTTTTAGATTATTTTTTTTAAATAACCTTAAATATTTTTTTTATAATAACAGTAAAAAATTAATATAGAAGGTAATCATTTTATCAGTTAAACCACTCGATTACTTGCAAAATTAATACAATATTGAAAAAATAATTTCTCATTTATTTTAATTACATATAATTCTTGATTATCAGCTAATAATTGACTAATAAAAAGACTGTCAACTTTATTTTTTTTAATGGCAACATACATATTTAACTAGCTTATAAAAAAGAAAATAATCTAGCTAAAAAAATGACTAGTCAGTCAACAACTTATGAACTTTATACACAATTTAAAGTAATGAATGGAGTTGAGAAATGTGTGGTGCTATTTTTATCACTAGTCATGACTCATCATGTTTAGGTATAAAAATGAAACTAACATTAAAAGTATTGGTCCAAAAGTTGTTATCGATCAGTCATTTTCTATATTGTAAGTTAATTGAATATTAATATTAATGTTACCATTAAAAAAAATAAAGTCGACACCCTTTAAGTTATAAGGAATAATTCTAAAAAGTAATTATTATCTGATAAATGAAGAATTATATGTAATTAAAAGAAATTTAAAATTATTTTGCCGACGTACATATTTTGCGAGTAATAGTGTGGTTTATGATAAACCAATCACTCTGTTTAATTAAAATATTTTATGAAAATAATATAACCAAACAGTGGCTGGCGTACCCAGGATTTTTCAATGAGGGTTAAATACCAAAAAATTGTGTAGTGACACTTTTTTAGATAATGTTTTACTTAATATATGAGCATGACATGTCATATTGAGAGAGAATTCCTTTAAGCGAATAAACTTCTATGATTAGTTGTTAAAATACTAGTTGAACTTTCTGGGTAGGCCACTATCTGTGACTGTTGGCGTAATTCTATAGCCGTTTTTATGTTTGGTCAACCAGCTTTTGTTTTTTTATTTTTTTCAAACTAGATCGAATGAATTTCAATGTACGTCTGGTAAGTGCATTGATAGTATATCTATTTGCGATGGCACAGCAGATTGTTCAGATGGAACTGATGAGACTCGAGCGCTCTGTGGAAACGAAAGGTAATATAAATGTAATATTTACATTAATATTGTATTGTATACGTGTATATAATTCAATACGTGTGTGGAATACCATAGATATAGTGCTTATTTGTCAAGTGAAAAAAAATCTAACCTTTGCAATTATTTTCATACATAACTATATAAAGGTTTCTCGTGAATAATTTAGTAAAATTAATTAGCAGTTTTTTTTTACTTTTTTTTTAATACTTTATTGTATTAGTCTGTCATAAAATAACTAAAATATTTTTTTCCTTAATAAAATATTTATAAATACCTTCATATTTAAAGATGTCAGGGTTATTCTTTTAAATGTGCATATGGTGCATGTATACCCAAAGAAAATAGATGTGATGGCGTCAAAAATTGTGTAGATAATTCAGATGAAGTCATGTGTAATCAAAATAATTCCATAGTATTCAAACCAAAACCTTCAACAGCAACGGCAACAACAAAACCAACTACTAAACCGACTGTAGTTCAATTAAACGTCACGTAAATTATTGATTTTAAAATAATGTATACAATAATTTGTTAAAATTAATAGTAGTATATTATTGATTAGAAATGCATGCACCGTACCCAGAATGGAGGGAAGTGATTTTTCATTGATAAATTCTGATCATACATTAAAATCTGTATCTCCCGGAACAAAAATAAATCAAAATAATTTTATTTTAGAAAAATGCAAGACGGGTTACACAAATATTACATCTCATAGACCCGTGGCATGTTTAAATGGAAATTGGTTTCCCGTCTTCAATGATGTTTTATGTTTAAGTGAGTGAATAAAATTTTGAAGTTAAAATATTTATGTTTTAATAGCCAGATTTAAAAAACGCAGCAACTTAAAGAATATTTAACTAAGATATTTTATCATTATAGATTTTTTATAATCAATTATTTCGTGTTTATTGGAAAAGAGGAAAACGTATAGAATATTTCTTTATTTTTTATTTAGTACACATTTTTTCATTAATTGACTTAACTATTTCTCGGGAGATTGATAATAATTGATTTTTCATTGAGCATTTTTGTAGGTTTTAAATTAGTAAGTATTTGTTACAACTCAACTATTGCGGGTTTAATTATTATTTTAGAAAATTGCCCATCAGTGACATCAGAAAGCTTGAATTTAGAATGCAGAATAAATGATGATATTGTTAATTGTTCGAAACCAGTACGCCAAGGAACCATTATGAGACCTTCGTGTAAACAAAATTATCGTCTCGAAAACGGAGAAGATGAAATTCCAATTGAACTCTTTTGTCAAAAAAATGGTCAATGGAGTGGCAAATTATTCAAATGCATACCAAGTAATTTTTTTTTTTTAATTTTCGTAATGTAAGTTATATATTATTTTAATAAATTACTCATAAATATGAGTAATTTTTTGTTTTAATATAATATGATAAAACTGTTTAAGTTTGCGGTAGAATACTTCCAAAAAGTCAAATTTTAATTTCAAATGGTAATAAAACTGTATATGATGAAGTTCCGTGGAATGTTGGGGTGTATGAACATAAAAATAATGTTTACGAACATATTTGTGGTGGTACGTTAATTGCTCGGAATATAGTGTTGTCTGGTAAATATTTAAGTTTCAAATAATTTATTGTCCATAGATAATTTTATTTACAATATATGAAATTAATAGAAAAATTATATCTATTTAAGCTGCTCACTGTTTTTGGACTGATGGTCAAAAAAATAGAGATGTAGATCATAGCAACTATAAAATTTCCGTGGGGAAATATACTAGAGATTATGGTGTTCCAGATAACCATTATACTCGGATTCATGACGTACGATTTTTTAATAAGTTTTTCATTAAACAAATACAAGACCAGAGTAGATGATGATAATGTGTCTAAATTGTAGGTAAAGCAAATTTTTATCGGAGAAAGATTTAATGGAGAATCATCTTTGTACTCTGATGATATAGCAGTTATTATACTGTCAGATCCAGTGGTTATAAGTCCAGCTGTTTCAGTTGTTTGTGTTGATTGGAAACCTCATTACACCGAACAAAATGGAAATTTAGGATTGGTAACATTTCATTTTACCGTAACATTAACTATGTTTGTGAAATGTTATTTAATACTAAAATATTAGATGATATTTAAATATTATTTTCAATAATAGAATTTTCAATACAATTTTAAGTGATATGTGGTGGGATTTCTTAGTAGAAAAGACATAGATAAGATAACAACTCTTTTTCTTCCTCGCCTTAATCCCAACTACTTAGGGTTAGCCATCGTTATCCTAAACTTCCAATTGATACGATCGCCCACATCCTTTACGCTCACATCAGATGTCCTCATATCGCATTCAATTACATCCCCCCATCTCCTTGTTGGTCTTCCTCTACATCTTCTTCTTTCAACATTAATTTCTGTAATTGTTCTTACAGCTTACTATTCCTCTCTCCTCTTAACATGACCAAACCATCTAATTCTATCTAAATCTAGATGAGATAGCAACTAAACATTTGTATTATTATTATTCATTTAATTAAAACGGTTTAATTAAAAGGACGAATACAATAACATTTAGGTTGTTGGATGGGGTAGAGTTGACAAAATGAAAGAGATATACAGCCAAACATTATTAAAAGCAGAGTTGCCATACATTGATTATCCGACATGTCGAAAAATGGTAAAAGAAGAATTTTCAGTTTTCATAACCTTTGACAAATTTTGTGCTGGAACCAAAAAAAGTAAATTTTCATTTTCATTAATTTTATTTTTGGTTATTCATGGTTGCAAACAAATGTTGAGAAGAACAATATAATTAAGACGTTTATGAACTCATTATGAGTTTAATAACACTATATATTTACAAAAATATTGTTAGTAAAAAATTTCGCATTTTTTTTTTCTGATATTAGTTTTGGTGTTTGCTTGGTATCTAGTTAATTTGAATAAGACATCTTCTCTAATCGATATTATTTAAACGTAGTTTTCTTTAATTAAATTTTTTTGGTTTTTTGTAATTTATTAAATCGATTTTTTTTATTACCTGTATGGCAATTTCTTTTATTTGCGGTAGTTTGTGATTTCTAGTTTTGATATTTATTTGATTTTACTGTGGTAGTGTCATATTAATTTATTTCGTTCTTGAAAAATAATATTCAAATTTCACAACTTCTGTATAAAAGTTATTCAAAATGAAATGATAACTAAGAATGAAAAATTTTCATACGAATACAACATTTCATTAAATAGCTTTACATCAAATTTTATATCAATTGGTGAAGTAACCAGATTAATGAAACTATTTGCGTTAAGATTATTGATCATTTTCAATATTCATAATGCGATTTTTTTCATTATGATATCAATTATTAATTATAATTGATAACAATTAAAAAGTATAAACAATGTTTAAACGTGGATATGTAGAAAATTTTATGAAAACTTGAATTACTAAAATTTAGGAGTGTGGTGCTAATGTTATAAACCAGATAACTTATGAGTAATATTAAGTTTTCGATATGAGTAAAAAATATATTGTCGATGATCCGTACAAGAAATGTTGGTCAACACATTGTATAGGGTTGTAAAAAAAAAATATATATATTTTTTTCGGTTATAGTTATGGACATTTCGGTTGGTTATATTATTTCAAAAATTATTACTATGAAAATATTAATGGAAATTAACCGAATTATAATAAGTCATGATCTCGTGACGTTGACACATTATGGCAGATTAATTTAACACTCATAGTATGTTTATTGTGTACTATCAGCTATACATTTTAAGTGTGCTAAATTGCAACTTCTACCTGTTCACTAAACTCAAATTACATCTCAAGGATTGAAAATTTAATAGTAACAAAATTTCATTTAAACTGTCAAGTTGCGCTGCAAATAGTATCTAAATGATATTTAATGTCAATGTATAAAAAGTGAACGACGAAAAGTGTACTAAAACAAAAGGATGTTACTTCAAAAAATATCTTGTAGATCCGGTAGATTAAATAACTTTATTTCTATAGAGTGAATATCATTGCTTTTTGAATCGTGTCAGAAAATTATATGCAAACGTTGATCAATATGAGTCATTGTATGAATTTCATGTAAAATGTCATAAAAATTCTTTGTTTGACACTTTCATTAAAAACCAGTTTAAGAAGATAACATTTTTAAATATTCCAATTACTGTTAATGAATAAAATTATTCAACTTAAGTTTTATAGTTTCAGATCAAGGAGTTCAAAAAGGAGATAGTGGAGCTGGATTATCGTTCATACACGATAATAAATATTATTTAAGGGGAATTGTTAGTCTTAATGATCCAAATGCCAATGATTCAATTGCATTATTCACGGATATAAAAAGACACTTGTCATGGCTTCTTAATATTTACTTGAAAAATAGAATTCAATAAATATTATAAAAAAATGGATTTTGTAATACAGTTTAAAATTACTTTTACTTGACAATTTACATTGCTTTATTACTTACGATTTAAATTGAAAAATTAAGATTTTTTGAGTTAATGGAAAAAAGATTGCATTGTTTCAATTTGATAGTTATTTTTTCATTCATTATGACAGAGTTTGTTATTTTGCATAAGAATTACATTTTAAAATAACATAAGAACTGAAGGTAATTTATTTAGCAGATTTATAATCTATTAAATTGTATGAAGTAATAGAATTAATGTTAAAACAAAAACAACGACTTATATATTACTTTCACTTCAAAAATAAAATATAACCAATTAAAATTGAATTATTTCTTAATTGAAGAAAGTGTTTTTATTTACCTATCTCTATTGATGCATATATAGAATGATTTTTTTAATATTAACCACTTGATTTTTCTCAAAATAATAATAATTATGTTTGGCAAATTTTATTTTTGGTATTTTACAGTTTCATATATTTCTGATTTATCAAGTATTAAATATTTTTTAATTCATCCCTTGCACCTCACAAGACCGTCATATTTATTTGCTTTAAAAACAACATATTTGTTTATTTAGCTTTTAAAATTTAATTGATCTAGTTAAAAAAATAATTGGTCGATAGCAAATTTTGAATTGGTATTTCGATAGTTATTAAAAATTTTTAACTTAGAACAAAGGCAGAACGTGACAGAGTAATGCATAATGTTAAAAATAACATAACCCACATCTCTCCTATACTTTATATTTAAAAATATTTCCGTTTAAGTTCCGAAATTCTATTTAAAAATTTTGGGTCGGTAACAACTTTTATCGATCAATCATTTTCTTAATTAGATCATTTCAATTTTAAATGCTAGTTAAATATGTATGTTGTTATTTAACAACACACATATTTTGTTGTAATTTGACTCCTTTATTTGGTATAAGGGACAAATTAAAAAAAAATTTAATAATTGATAAATTGAGCAATAAATAATGCTACAAAATACCAAAAAAATTTTCTTAACATAATTATCATTTTGAGAAACATCGAGTGATTAATATTAAAAGAATCAGTCTTTTTATAAAATATAATACAGTTTACAAAGTGATTTTAATGGTTATCCGAACACACTGTTTACTCAATTACTGCATATAGTTGACATGGTGCCATAGAAATAAATGATAGGAGAAAATGCTTATTTATACCATATTTACAGGGGTATAATTATGGGGTCGAAAGCGTGACCTAAACAAAATCTAAGGGTTGCAAAAATATAATTTTGTGCCCTATAAAAATATTTATTGACTCAAAATACATTATGTGATGAATGGTGAAATTGTTTATTTTAAATGGAATGCGAGGTTGGGTTAAATCTGATCAAATGATTATTGGATTTGTCATGTCGTGGCCATTCATTCTGTATAAATAGATATAATAGATATTAAGCTAAACTATCTTAAGAAATTTCATATCGTTTTAACGCCATCATAAAAACGTACTAATTATATAAATAAATAATATCGTACTAATAATGATAAAATAGAATCAATCTTAAATGTTAAAATAAGATATTTTGAAATTCGTGTAACGCGATTTACTATACTTTTCTTTATAAACTGTTGTTTATTTTAATAATGAACATAATCCACGTTTTATATTCATATAAATATTTGGGATATGACTATGTATATCACTAAATTATAATTGGTTATCATCAGAGATCATAGCATATAAAATAAATGATAATCAAATTAATGTTAGTTCATATAATCAGTCTTATTTGACTCATTCCATCAAGTCATTTTTAAATTTGTTTTATCATTACTTTTACTGTTAGTATTCTGACCAACTCCATAAACTCTCGTTCTCATATTGGATTAATAAATTAAATAAGTAAGTGATCATTATAATACTATTATTATTTCAATGACATTGAACATATTTATGTTAGCTTTACAAATTAAAAAAAAACTACTATGTTGCTGAGTCTTGTAAAATATTTAACCTAAAACATAACTGATAATTTTTGTTTTTAGATGGTTAATGAACTAAAAATATTGGGAATCCTCGGTAAAGACCGTTTTATAAGAAACAAAAACGATAACTCGTACACAAAAAAGTGATGTTTTATTATATTATGCAGAAAAATTGTATCGACATTTAAAATTAGATAAATTTGATTGCTAATTCAAAGTACGGTCGTTTATGTATAGAAGAACCTTGTTAATTTTTTTTTTTTTTTTAATTAAATGTCACAAAATATGATTGGAATTTTAAAAAGAATTACATTTGTAGAACTTGTAGCGTTTTTGTTTTATTTGACTGTGACTTTTTCATCGTGCTTGAATACTAGCCTTTTGTTGTATAAATCATGTAGTCCTGATGTGGTACCAAACTCCATTGGTCAAAAATGCCAAAACGAAAATAAGGCTGAACACAAGGTGATGCAAATAAATACTTGGAAATCAATTGTTGTACAAATTTTGCCAATGGCAATTACTTTAATGGCAGGACCATGGAGTGATCGGCACGGTAATCAAAGAAAAGTTCTGATGTTAATATCTATCTTAGGGCAACTGTTATCTGATTTTGCTTCTTTGTACAGTAGTTGGAATTGGTCGAAAATCACACCAGTAGCTACCGCTATGATACAAGTAAGATTTGAAATGTCGATTTAAACTACTGTTATTCAAGTTTGTTATTTTTATAATTATTAAAAATGATTTCATATTGTAGTAAAAATTTACTAAATTATTATTATTTTTTATTTAAAAATGATAAGATTTTGTGATTTGGTAAAATGTAGTAAAATTAATTATTTTTTTTTCAAATACCAAGTCCAATGAAGTCAGTATGACTAATGATCAAACGATTGTTGAAAAATACATTTATTTAATGAAACTAAGATAGAATTTTTCAAAAATAGATCAAATATGTTTTGATTTTAGATTTAGTAAATGTTTTCTGAGTACATTTATATTATTAATTTGAATTTCATCATGTATAGGTTTTGCTATCGGCTTTTACTGGTAGTTCGGCATTATTTCGAGGTGCAGTGTTATCGTATATAGCAGATGTATCAGACGAACATTGGCGTACTTATCGGTACGGTTTATTAATTTGCGCCGAATTCTCCTCAGGTTTTGTCGGCATGTTCATTTACGGTTTCATTGTCGAGTCTACAGGATTCAACGAAGCGTTTATTTTATGTATTGTTTTGGACATTGTAGCTTTATGTGTTGTTATGATGTTCTTAAAAGATAATTCAGGGGCATATGTTAAAAAATCGTTTTTCAAAGATGTCGTCGAAACATTGAATTTAACAAAAGTTTTTAAGGATAGTTGCAGAGTTCTTAGTGACTCGAGACCAGACAATAAAAGATTAATTCTATTGCTAATGGTATTTGTTTGTGGTCCTTTAACCAGCGCACCAGTTACAGGTAACTAAAATCTTAAATAATATTAGAAATTCCGCTCAAACTTATGAACTCCATCTTAATTTAAATGATCAAAAACAAGGAGCTATTTGCTATGACACGGTCCCGCGTTACCTTTACCAGCCGTCGTCCTACTACGTGTAGTTTGACTGACCGACACCGAGTGCCATACGCCAAGTCCAGCAAGTGCAAGACGACGACCCGCCGCAAATTATATTACGTTGAGTGTCCTTACCGCCGTCAAAGTGACAACGTCGAGGATGTACGCCACCGGCTCCGGACGTGCCGCACGACCGGACTCGACTAACCGATCCGCCCCGTCGCCTTCAACCTTTTGACGGCCGAAGAACACCGTGTCGCCGACGCCAGCGAAAGTGCCGCGATATAATGCGAAGATTACTAGTTCGTCTTTTGAAAATAATCCTCTGTCGTTACTAATGAATAATTAACGGATTTTTAGATAATATGTATCTAATGTCGTAACACAGTAAAAAATGGTGAAAGTAAAAGTGTAAATGTGCAACTATGTGTACGAAGATGAATATGAGGAGGTGGTGCCTGCTGTCTAGGTATTCACGTGCGTGTTGTCGTACAGCAGTCACCGTGCTCGGCTGACACTCCGGGTTAGCTGTGGGTGTCGAAAGGCTGTTGTTATAGGAAGGGAGAATAAGAGTAACACCTAGATATGAGGTGCAGACGAAGTGCAAGACACAAATACTGGGCGTACCAGGTGAGGAAAGATAACAGAGTACGAGGTGCAGACAAAGTGCTAGACACAAGTACTCTGAAATGTCGAGGAAAAGAGTATATAGGTTAGAAAAGGAATAAACAAAGACTTTACTTTAAACAGTAAGCCGGACAGCGACAACCGAGTACTGAGACTGATGAATGACACAAGGCACTGGAGTCGACTGACCACGATGGTCAGGTCTATTGGGTTTTTATAATAATTACACCTATTGCCGATTTGGCAATAAATATTATTTGTTAATTCACCAGTCTCAGGCAGCGGATGTGCTGTCTGTATTTTATTAAAATAATTCTCACGATTATGAAAACGTGACACCATCACACTAATAAAATCCAACAAAAAAAATCGCGATCCATATTTTTCACCTTTATAAAATAATTTTCAGGTCTATCCTGTATATCTTATAGGGGCGTCGACTTAATTTTTTAATGGCAACAAACGTATTAAATTAACTAATAAAATTACCTATTAACAAAACTACTGGTCGATTACAACTTCGGAAGGTATCAACATTTTTGTACTTAGGCGGGGCGAACAGTGCGCTCGATATATGACTATTATAAAAAGAATGATAAAAATAGCAGCACCCTCTTCTCACCTCCGGTCATTACTTTAAATTGTGAATAAATTCTGAAATTCTGGTTCAAAAGTTGTTATTGACCAGTCATTTTCTAGCTAGAATATTTTCTATTTTATAAATTAATTAAATATGTATGTTGCCATTAAAAAAAATAATTTTGACATTTCTTAAAGTTATAAGGAATTCTAAATAGTAATTATTAGCTGATAATCAAGAATTATATGTAACTAAAAGAAATCATAGATTATTTGTTGCTATTTAAAAAAATAAAACTGACCACTATGATGAGATTTAAGGGAATGACTTAAAAATAATTTTATAACATATAAACGGTTAAATTTTAAATATATACTATGTAACTAACAAAATAATAAAAAAAAACAACTTCAAAAAACTTATTATTTTATGAAAAATTGAGTGACTATCGTTAAAATAATCACATTGCATATTAATTTCAATTTCAGGTGATATATCATTAATCTACTTGTTCCTTAGAAATAAGTTCAATTTTACTGATATCGAATACAGTATTTTTCTTTCATACAGAGTACTAACCATTATAATAGGTAAGTTAAAGGGTGTAAAAAATGTATTAAGTTATAAATCAGTAAATACAAATTAAAATTAAAAATCATAATTAATTGTTGAGTTTAAAAATAAGTATTATTTTAATCCCTCGATATTTTCAATTAATTATCCATCATATAATTTTAATTATTAATTCAGTATAATTAATAAATAAATGGAAAAAATTGTTTACAGGTACTGCAATGGTAATGTGCATCATGAGCCGTTTACTGGAGGTGTCTGATGCTATGATAGGAATAATAGCCAGCATATTTGATTTGGCCTCGGAGTTAATGTTTTATTATGCATCAAAAAAATGGCAACTTTATTTGAGTAAGTTGTAGATTCAGTGGATAGTTGAATTTTACTACGTTGTTTACTTTTTTTTTGTTTATCGTTTCGAATGATCAGATTTTATTGGACCAATACTGTCAAACGATACTTCAAAAGAACCCGAATAAAATTTCATTGAAAATATTATTCTCAAAATTTAAAAATATTAATATTTTTATCATTTTATATATCTAATACACACTTGAATGTTTAAATAATACCAGAATAGGCCTTTTTTTTTGCATTGGTGTGCACATAGATCAAAAATCGTGGACCGTAAAAACATTATCGACCCAAAATCCTTTGTATATTTCAATATTAGCCTGTAAACTCAAATTAATATTTTTTTAAGTATAAAGATATATCGTTTAAATCCTAAATTTATTGGATTTTTCTCTATCTAATAATAGACCTAGAACACTCAAATGTAGAAAAATCATCCTTTTATGTCCAGTACACAATGACTATAATTAATTGAAATAAGTCTTACAATTAAAAAATAAAAATAATGTGTAAAACAATTTTTTTTAGTTAGATATCGAAGCTAATAATTGTGAGAATACTTTTTTTTTTAATTACATGCACCCAGAGAAAAACCTCGATCTATATAATAAATTCATTGTTCAATTTAAAAAATATATCATTACTATTGAAACTATGATATATTTATCAATATGATAGTTTTTTTTCTTGTCTTGAACAATAATTATTTATAAGAATAATTATTTTGTTCGTATTAATAAAACATTATCATACACCCTTGATAAAATTTCTCTATCAAAATTGATTGAGGTTTTTCTTTGGGTGTGTGTATACTACACGATTTATCAATTTCACAGGATATCAAATAATGAAAAATTTTCTGATTGCCATTTTATTTTGATTCTGGTTTCTAATCTGGCTTTAATTTTTTTCCTCTTTATCCAGTTTTTGAGATATTTTATTATTAGTATATAAACGATAATCAAACAATTAATATAAAAAATAAGTGTTTGTTTTAACTTTTTATAGACCTTTAAATTTGAGTTTGATGAGTATTATCTTAATATAAAATTGATACTAATAAATATATAACTTTGCGAGGAGTTAAGAAACTTTTTTGTTTTTAAATTACAAGTAACTTTTAAAAATGCTTTATAAAATTTTTATTTTAATTAATCTTAATGTATTAAATTCTTGCAGTACCTCTTCTTCAAATTTTTTTGGGCGCAGCAATTTCGGCAACGTATTCAATTTCTTCAAAATGCGTGAATATAAATGAACTTGGTCGGTAGAAATAATTTATGTCTAAATAAATTAACAAATAATATGTATTAGTTTATTTATTCACTATAGTATATTACATTACAGTACTAAATATCATAATTTAAATAGGTACAATGAACTCAGTTAAGATATTATTTGAAAGGCTGTCTAATGCAATAACATTACTATTATATACTCTGCTCTATAATTTAACATTGGATACTAGTCCAAGTTCATACTATTTAATGAGTGTCGTTTTTATTGCTTTGACAATACCACTTTTTATGTAAGTAAACATAAGACGTAATTAATTAATTTTGTTTCAATTGTATTTATTTTGAAATTTACTTAATAACAATTTTTTTTTGTTAATATTTAGCATAACAAACATTTTAACTCGAATGAAAAGAAAAGAAGACCAATTCGCAATAACATATGGTACATTCTAAGTTTGACTATTAACACTGAAGATTAATTCTTACATAATTGTAAAATATTATGATAAAATCAGTACGCGAGATTTTTAAAAAGAACTTGCTTGGTAATTTTATAAAATGTCCTTTTATTATTAAAATTATTATTTATTATATTTTACAAGAAAAATATTTATAATTTAATAACAATTTACTCCTGAATCATAAAAAATACTGTACAAATGTTTAAATGAATAATACTACACTAATTTGAATAATAATCAACTTTTCAAATACTTTTTATTTGCGGTTAATTTTTTTAGCTATTGAAATAAAACAAATTTAAACATTTTATACTATTTAAAAATTTTAAACAAACATATCTGTTCAGTAATATTTTGTTCAAAAATATTGTCGTTGTTAGATTAATATATGTAATAATATATTCATAAAATATTCCCAAACATTACTATATTTTTTAAAATCTAAGAAAATCATCTTGTCGCCGCCAAGCGTTTATTTGCTCAGCTTTATCCTATTGTAGTTATAAAAATATAATTTTAATACAACAACATTTAACCGTTTGTCATTGAATAAAAAAATAAGGAGAATAGGGGTATAGCAATAATCAAATTTTAGGGAGAGAATATTCAGTTAGAATAAAAACTAATAAAGATTATTGAGGCATGAAATATAAAGAAAATGGGTAAAAATGTATCGGCTTCTACCATAAAATATAAAGAATTATAAAGATGTTATGATTTGAAAACATGTAAACATTGGAAGTTTAAATAAAATAGATATAAACATAAGAATGCAAAATGAAATATGACGAGATAAGAAAAAAATATATACTGAAGGGAAGGTCAACATGTATATCGAGTGCAGTTTCAGGAAATATGTAGTTCAATAAGATTTTACGACTATTGATTTTTTATCGATACTATTGAAAAAAAACAATGTGAGGGGTTATTTAAAATGCGATTTTCTGATTGTTGGGCGCCAAGCTTTACGAGCTGAATTAATGATCTTCATACTGATGGTAAATACAAATGAAACATTTACGTTGCACATTTTTTATTGTGATGAGCGTGCCAATCAAATAATGTTTTAACGGTAATATTTTGAATTAGTTACATCGCAATATAATTTCATTGTTCCCAGAAAATTAACTTAATTGTTTGAAATCTATCCTTAATATTTTATGACATGCTTAGAAATATAATTTCTTACCTTGTATTGAGCAAGCGTAACTTGTAAAAGTATTTTCAAAAATAAAAACACACACTTTATTATTTTTAGTTTTTTTATGTTATTGTAAGATTTAATTAATTAATTTATACATTGCACAAATTTATAAAGAGTCGTATTTGGAACCATATTTTTCTGTATACAAAAATAATACTATTTTTCAATCGATGCTGTGTAATTTGATATTTGTCTTTCTTTCATAATACATTTCTGAGGGATGTGTGAACATGTCTCTATGAGCTTGCTGATGGATAAATTAGAAGTTCTGCACTTTCAGATGTTTTAGCGAAAAACTATTTTTATTTTTAGACTAAATATTTTTTAACAGAATTTGCTAGCAAAATATCGTTTCCCTCTATGTTAATCGTTATATGGCCTGGTTAGGGTAGATTTTGAGAATCTCAAATGGACCTGTCCAATCGTGTGCTAGTTTATATTTTACTTTATAAATAAACCATACTACGTTATGTTATGTCTAAGGCTAATAGATTATAAGAGAAAAAACTTAGAAATTCTGTAACGCAATCTGTGATTATTTGGTCAGTAATGCTAGTTAGCAAACATAATGAGTGACAAAGTGTTATGCTATGCTCGTGGTTTTCAGATGTGGGTGGAACTGTTAAATAACCCGAAAAATGGAACTCAACTCATTTTTAGTTGTATTATAATTTTTTTCAACTCAGAGTTCAGATGCGTACAAAGTCTATGCCAATAAAAAATAGAAAAACAACACTATCTATTGCGGTATTACTAGCGTCACAAGTTAGATTAAACGTTTGGTTAAAATCTAGATATTAAAGTAGAAGTACGTGAATTCTAAAATAGATTTCGATTTTCAAATAATTCTTGAAATTTATCGGAATTCAGTGGAATAAAGCATATTTTTTTAATAAATTTGTAAGTGGTTTCCTGATTGTACCGACTTCTGCTTGACACATACACTATGATATAATCGAAATATACACATAATTTTAGTCTGGCCAACTATTACTGTACTGTTTCTTTACTGCAACTAAAAGTGGTGCATTCTATGGACTCTTGCTAGAAGCTATTATGTTTTATTTTTTGAGTTCTTTGATTTGTTTATTGCCTGTTTATGACGGAAAAGCAACTGGTATGTGTAATTACTAGCGTCATAAGTTATTTTAGTCTGGTTAACTATTAATGTACGTTTTCTTTAGTGCAACTAAATGTGGTACTAGCTTCTAGCTTGTAAAAGTATTTATGTAGTGATAAATAGCGACAGCTTGTCTTCATTTAAATCAAAAATGTTCAAATACTATTTCAGTTTGAATACATTCCTTGAGGAAATTCAGAAAAAGTCAGCACATTAGGGTCGTGAGAAAGTTAGAGCGTTGAAATAGAGCTGATATCTGACAATGATTAACATTATTATTACAAAAATAGCTTCTACGGGAATCTATTAAATTTCATAATTTTTATAAATATAATTTTACAATATTGAAATACCCTTTTTACGGTAGCTTAATTTTAAGATGATGTTTTTAATATTTAAATTTAAGGGCATTTTTGAAATTTTCAATACTAAGAGGTTAAACTGGATAAAAAACGGGTTCTTTTGACGTAATTATCATGAAAATCAATGAGACCTGTGGATATTTATGGACAGACATAAAAAAAATTAACCATCACAAAATCTATACCTTCTCAATTTCACATCAAAATTAAAAAATTACTATTTTTAGCTTATTACTTACAAAAAAAATCAGGAAATGTTATCAACTATAAGACAAGGTCTTACTGAATTACAAGCATTTTATTATATAAAATGGATATAGACCGCTGGCAGTAACATATTTTTCTTGAATTATTAGCTATTTATACTTTGTAAGTTCATTATTTATTCCTTGTAAGAGTGTCAACATTGTTTTTTCAACTGGGAACACATATTTTGAATTTAATAAAATGTTTGAGGTTTTATTTTAATAATAAATGGTATTTGAATTTTTAACATAACTTTTATCATGATATTGTTAAGTTAAAATTTGGTAATGAGACTTATTTTTGTGAGATAACATATATGGGGTGTTGCATATGTGATGCTACTAATTTTTCACTAGCCTGGCCGTATCCCTCTCCCTGCCAATGTATGAAAATGTGAATAACTTCTGCAATACTGGTTGAAAAGTTTATATTATCGACCAGTCATCAATTAGATAATTTTCTATTTTATAAACTAGTTTAATATGTACATATGGTTCTATTTAAAAAATAAAGTTAAAACCCTTATTAGGAAGTTATGAATGATGAACTTAAAAATTATTTTATAACAGATAAGTATAAATATGTGTAACTAAAAAAATGTTAAAAAAAACTGTTATTTTAAGAGCAATTGAGTGGTTAGTATTGTTGAGGATTATGCACCAACTCGCGTGAGATAGGTTAAAAGAGAAAAGAAAGAAATACAACTAAATCGGTATATATATATATATATCAAGCCGTATATTGATAATCTCTATAACGCGGTTATAAGTTTTATATTAAAAAAAGAAAACAAAACAACTATATATTTCTATGGACGTGTAGTGTTCGTAACTACGGTGGAAAAATGCCCGGTCCTTGCGGAAGGTAAAAGCAAAGAGAGCTACGGTATCGGTGTCACGAAGATGACTAACTGCACATATTATTGCGACGGGGTATTCGACGCTAGGCATTTGTTGGACTTTACACCACGACGATAATGCGTGTGCGTAACGGTCCGGTTTACAGTAGTGATGGGAAATATCGAATAGAAACTATCGAACTATTCGATAGTTGTCCACTATTCGAACTATTCGATAGTCATTCAAAAAATATTCGAATAGTAAAAATATTCGATAGTTACACAATACATTCGAATAGTTTTAAAAACTATTCGATAGTTTATGCTAAAAATAAACTATTCTGTTGTATAAACACAATTTGAATAGTTATACGATAGTTTAAAATACTTGAAAATGCCCATCACTAATTATTACTATTATTAATTGTATAATAATTTATTTATAAGTATTCATTAATTATCTTCTCATTATAATTAAGTATACTTAATACAAATTTTAGGTAAAACTAATCGAATATTTTTTAAAACCATTCGGTAGCCCATTCGAATAGTTTATGCTAAAAATAAACTATTCGGTTGTATAAAAACTATCGAATACTATTCGATAGTTTAAAATATTCGAAAATGCCCATCACTAGTTTACAGTGAAGCGGTGGCTGAGAAGGAGCTGATACGATCGCGGGGTGTCAAACGTGTGACAAGGCCGTGACCGTGTCAGTATTAAAAGAAAAGTGTCCTATAGGTACATCAACTTTATTTGATTAAATAGCAAAGTACATATTTAACTAGATTATAAAACAGAAAATAATGCAATTAAGAAAATGACTAGTCGATAACAATTTTTGGACCAGTATTTCAAAAGTTATTAACATTTTTATACCAAATAAGGTGAAGGATTGAAGTTGAGAAATGTCTAGTGATAAAAATTGTATAACCCACTCTTCACTTTCAGTCCCTATGTTAAATTGTTAATAACTTTCAAAATATTAGTCCAAAAGTTACTTTCGTAATAATATCATTATATAATAAATGAACTAGTTAATTATATTTAATTTTACCATTTAAAAAATTTAAGTTGATTCTCTTATATGGTAGAGGGATGAACTATTTTATATCCCATAAATGTAGATGCGTGTATATTTCACATAAGCCAAAAAAATCGTAAGTAATTGAGAGGTTAATATCAGAACAAAAAATATTTTATGCTTACACTGCCGGTAGAAAGTTAAGTTAAGTTCACTTGATTTATTTTAGCAACAATGCAAACCTAAGAATCTATTTATTTTATTATGATATGTTGTTTTTATGAATACAATAGGTTATAACTATACAGAATGTAGTTCTGAATATTTTATTGTAGCATCTATTTAAATACTAAGAGTTAATAGAAATGATTACCATGACTTTTATTGAAATTATTTAATTCGACATTATTACAAAAAAATAGCATGATTTTAACGTAATTTTGAGTTTTTTTTATAA